CATTGCTTCACAAACAATGTTCTGGCCTAAAGGTGCTCTAGTTGCTTTTGACTTGTTTTCCGTGCAGTACATAGGTCATAGTTATTAACATATTTCTTTATTCTTTCAGTAATTCCAGGCCAGTAAAAAGATTGACGAATGCAACTCAACATTTTCTTATTTCCTAAGTGTGCGGCAGAAGGAATATCATGATACAGTTCCAGTATGTCTTGTTGACAATCAGGTGAGGTTTTTTCATCATTGTTAAATCATTTTCTGAAAAGCATTCCATTGTTATAAAATAATGTGTCTCACATATACAAAGGTTTTTTAGTAACCGATGAACAAGCAGATATGTTAGCTAAGCAATAGAAAGAGCATCGAAACACGAGGCTATTATCTGATTTGTACGAGGGGGCTTTGGCCCCGATTATAAATCAGATTGCCGTGTAAAATTAATCATTTCTTATAAAAGTATAAACCTTATAACGTCCTATAATGTCTTACAACCTCAAAATGTCCTATAATATTGTATTAATACCTTCATTTAACAGAAAATTATTATAAAACTGAAAATCAACATAGACATGAAAAGTAGAGGAAGGGTCAGGATTCCTGACAGGTAAGTGTAAGTATTTTCTTGAGCCTTTTTTTTTTTATCTCATTTGTAAACACATGTCCTAGCTTAGGTTTTCTTATTATCAAAAACATAGAATTTGTTTAAAATTGATACTTAAGTTAACAAAGCTTAGGTAAATATTTGAATAAGTCACTGTCTCTTACAATATTCTGTGACATATATTACATGTTTCTCTGCTCCTTCTAAAAACATAAATGATAAGATTTCAATTATAAAATATCATAATGTACGTGATGCCAGATCAGTTAAAGTTTCATATTAAAATTATAATATCAATGTATCAGTATGAATTCACATTTTTAAAATCGTGAGTAATTAAATGTCTTGCTAACTTTAATAGTTTTTTTTGCCTTGTATTGTTCTTGTTTACAAGTTATTGTGGCTTTTAAGTGATGATCATGTAATAAAACTGAAAAAATAGAATGAGTGTTGATACCTAAGATGAACTAATTGAACTGTTGAAATTATTTTTGTGAAAAAGGAGCGACAAATATATGTAGGCTAAGTGTTTCGGCCCATTATGATGAGCATAAATTGTTTTAATTTCCGTTGTTTTTGTTGCCCGTTTTAGATGAAAATGAAACAGAAGATGTATACAATACATCCATTTGCTTTACGGGTGACATTTAGGCAATCTTATTATAATCAAATCAAACCTGTCGCTTCACTACTAACGGAGCGAAAACAATGACATTGACATTAACGTGACATTAACATTCTGTTGAGCCCGCTGATTTGATAGTTGTTGAGCCCGCTGATTTGATAGTTTTACTGGTTAGATTTATTGATGTGTTTCATTAAATCTAAACCCACCATAGTCTGCATTTCTTGTATACAATAGAAACCTAAAGAAATAATGACATTGTCAAACTGCCTTTTTTCCATGCCAAGTGAATACAACCAATTGTTGAGAAAGCAAAATATTATATAAACAAAAGTAAATTTCATCATAATTTTATCAACGATCTTAAATGAAAAATATGTCACTTATGGCTCATATTTTCAGATACAAATATACACTTCATAATTAGATGTATTTCATAGATGTATTTTCCATGATTCTGTAAAACAAAGCGGCACTAAAAGATCATGTTACTCAATTTTTTATGGTTTTATATCATAAATATAATGCTCAAATGAAGATTTATCAATATTGTAAGTTCCAAAAAGCATTTTTTGTTATAATACAGAATTTACATATCATGTTAATAAAGGAAGGTAATTAGAAATTTATTTTCCATAAAGTATAAGTCATTTTTTTCAATAATAAATGAATGCGTATATTTTAATGATTACATATAATATGGACAAATATTTGCAGTACATATTTTACATATTCCTTGATGTTTGAAAATTGTTTTAGAAGCATAATTATATACATATATAAAATTTCACTTAAGTGTGGTTACAATCTTAATTACAGCATACAGGATCTTTAATTAGCGCATCCCCAAACAAAACACATCAACATAGGACCACCGTCAGGATGCCCTGCAGGATGGAGAGGGCGATATGTGTCTTAGATCATTGGAATGTAACTTGATTACCTTGTACAATGTGCTTAATGGTAACGTGACAGGAAAAGAGAACATTTTCGTCTTCACAAAATTAATTCGTTATTGTATGAAAAAAATAAAATATTGTGAAAATGAATATTGTCAGGAAATAAAATATATTCTTAAATCTTCTTGTTCGTGATAAAGAAAAAAAACTTGATCTCATTATCTACATTCGTAATTGTTCTCAATATAACCTCGCAGAACGTGATATGTAAATCACGAAATAATTACCATCAGACTAATACAAATTTTATTTTTGGCATATGAAACGTTTTATAATGATAATGTTTTATTTATGGATTTCTATAAGTGCTGAATTTCGCAAGAGCATTAAAACCCTTCAGCACTGTGTCTATAATATTTGTATACAATTACAGAGATCCAAGAAGAAATTCAAAAGGGAAAAGTTTGAATCCAGTTCTGCATCAACAGCTCTAAGGCCTATTGCTCCGAGCAATACTTCCTCATTAGATAATAAATTAAACATTAAATTATTGAATATTTTTGTCAATCTCACATACTGATTGTATTGTTGTAGTTATAACAATTAAAGATAGTGCAATCTTGATATTTAATGTTACTTTCAACATCTGTATTTTTTGGAAGTGCACTTCAGAGGTTTTTAATTTACATTTTAAAATTTAACAGAATGATATAGATCTACATGTAGTACAATTCTGAAAATTTAGAAAGTTATAATTTTTATAATCTTATCACTTTTGGGTGAGAGCGATTAAACTTTGTCTAATCCTTGATAAATTAACATTGTTTTATTACAGTTATAGGTATGTGCATAAGTTCATTGTCACTCATTTCTTAAATCACAATTTTATAATAGTTTCTACAGAATATGCCTTTGAACGTATATAACCTTTACGTATTTGACATTTAAGTTATTGACATTTCTAATAGTTCCCTCGAGAACGTCTGAAACTTACACGCATAGTGTTTAAACATGAGTATGTGTAACAATTGTGTGGGGGATCAGAAAAGTATCGATATGTGAATATATAACAATAGTATGGGCGCTCAGTAATGGATAAGTCTTGCCGAAAAATATCCATTTTGTTTTGCAACAATAACATAATAATATTATTAAAGTTTGAACTCGTTTAATATGGCCAGATGTTAGATCAAAATGTAGCTTTATAGCTTACTTTAGCAATGTTGGTCATGTCTACGGCATGGAAACCGACATAGTGTGTCAGAATAATCACAGTTTCACTGTAGATAGTTTTATTTACAACGAGTCAGCGATACACTGAAGTGTATCATATTTCAATGTACAGTTTCATTTATAAACCTGTTGCTGGGAGTATAAAATATGTATACATGTTTAAATGTCAAATCGTTTCAGCTAGCAAATATGCGCGTTTAGAGAGAGATTTTACATTAGTTAGGAGACACACGCTTATAGTGTGAGGGGTTATTTTTTTATTGGGAAGAGAATTTTGTTGTTTTGAAGAGAATTTTGTTGTTTTGAAGTCAGTTTTGTTGGTTTGTTGAAGTGGTTGAATATAATTGTGGTGATCTTAATTGTTCGGGTTTATTGGTTGTAATTTGTTGTTTTTGTTGTTGAGTTATATCTGTTTGTGAAGATATAATTGATTGATATTGGTTGAATGTTTGTCTGATCAATGTTTGATCATAAGTTGTTAGAGCTTGGGCTCGCCAGGTGTCTTGTTTCGTATAAAAGACGTATATGTGAAAAGATATTTCATATAAGTGGCTGATAAATGATGTGTGTTTGTTTTGGGTGTAAATAATGATCAGAGTTCTTTGTTTTGGGTGTAAATAATAATCAGAGTTTGTTGTTTACATGTATATATTGATTTGAGATAGAAAAGGATAAAAATACCTAAAAAAAAGATAGTGTTAACTAAACAATTACATGCTAGTTTTCCAACTGAGAATATTTCACTTTAATGTCAGGCGGTGCTGCCCAGCCTCCATATCTTGGAAATTGGTTCTAGTATTTATTACTAAATCTTTTCTTAGATTAAATAACATCAAGGCAGACATTTCTCCTGACAATTTGGGGGCTCGTCCGGGATATTCTCTTTAAGTTGGAATCTTTTCTGGCAAAATATTGTTTGTTAAACTTTGATAAATTTTTTGTTAAACTTTAAATCATTTACGATCTGTTGGTAAAATGTAGCAGTGTAAAATGCTGTTAGGCAAAAATCGATAAATCTGTTGTAGTGTTATACAAGTAAACTCTCTGTACAATAGAGTTTAAGTAGAGAGTTATATGTATAGAAGCGGTGACGGGTTGTGTTTTTTAAAAGTTTATTTATACTGAAGAAGTTATTGCATTTTAGCAGGAGAGCACCCTTTGTTGAATACTGTTTATACGGTGATAGAATTAAGTGGTAGTAGGGAGACATTTGTTTCGATAGTTTAAGTCATTGTGTTAATAAGTTTATATCGATGATAAAGATATAACTTATAATTTGTTGAGGTTATAAACATCAGTAGTTGATTAAAGTTTATAACCGGTGTTCAGTGGGTGATTATTCATAAAAGTGTTTATCATAGTTGAATAGAAAGTTTTTGCTGCCGGTGCTCAGTTGGTTGTTTTATTAAAGTTTACATTGTTGTTAAACACTACTGGAAGATTATTATCGGTCCCCTGGTTGTTACTGTTGATACAAGTTCATTGCCGGTGCCCGGTAGGTGCCATTGTTATATCGAGATTAGATTTGGTATAACGATTGTCGGTGCTACAGAGGTACACCATTTTGTTGAGTAATAAGCATTTACGTAACGGGTTTCGTAGAAGTTGATTAATTTATTGAATAGTAATCCATTATTAAGTAATTATGGATTATGATAAATGGGTATCATTGGGAGAGAGGCTTGGGTTGAAGGACGGGGAGTTACGTGATTATGTTCAAAAGAAAGAATCAGAATATCTTGATAGAGAAGAGAGAAATATTAGACGTGAAGAAGATAAACGGCGATTTGAGGCAGAGCGTTTAGAAAAAGAAGCTGAACGTGAGGAAGGGCGACGGCGTTTTGAGGCCGAGCGTCTAGAAAAAGAAGCCGAACGTGAGGAAAAGAAACGTTTATTTCAAGCTGAAGTAGAGATGAAAATGAAAGAGCAAGAAATAGAATTAATGAAGTTAAAAATTGAGGCTGGGGATCGCCTTGATACCCCACCTAGCACCGGTTTGAGGCCAAGATTGCCTAAATTTGAAGAGTCAAAAGATGACATAGATGCTTATATAGAGCGTTTTGAAAGATTCTCTATCAGTCAAGGATGGAAAGAAGACACATGGGCAATAAGCTTAAGTTCGTTATTAACGGGGAAAGGTCTTGAAGTTTACACTAGTATGCCTCCTGAGCAAGCATCAGACTATCAAGAATTAAAAACAGCAGTTTTGAAAAGATACCAATTAACAGAAGACGGTTTCAGAAATAAATTTAGAGAGAGTAAGCCGGAACAAGGGGAGACTGTAAACCAATTTATGGCTCGCTTAGATAGGTACTTTAGTAGATGGACAGAAATGGCCGACGCTGCGGATACAGTAGATAAATTGAAAGATCTTATTATTAGAGAGCAATTTGTCAAAGTTTGTTCAACAGAGCTAGCTCTTTTTCTAAAGGAACGAAAGCCAAAGGATCGTAGAGATGTCATCTCTTTGGCTGAACAATACTTAGAGGCTCATGGCGGTACAATTACAAATAGTAAAAGCTCAAAAGTTGCCAATTTTTCAAATAAATCACCAATACGCCTTAATCAAGGTAATCTATCGAAACCAATACAGCACTTTCACAGAGAAAATAGAAAAGTAACATGCTTCATATGTAATAGAGAGGGTCATGTGGCCAGAGATTGTCGAGATCAGACTAAGAAAAGATATGGGGCTGCTGCAATGTCATATGGGGAGCAAAATAGAAATTACTTTAAAACAAATCGGGATTCTTCACCAAGGAACTGGCGTAGTAGGCCTGGAGAAAATAGACGTGATGGGAGATCAGATGATAAGAAAGTATCGGGGTTATGTATGTCAATTTCTCCAACAAGTTCTTATGATGGTTGTATTGAAGAGGGAAAACTTAAATTAGCCAATGGTAATTCTGTGCCTGTCATTACAAGTAGCTGTACAATTGAATCATTAGAAGGTGAACGTCAACTGGATCTAAACTAGGATATGTTGGTAATCAAAGAGGTGAAAGTTTCTTAGAGGACACCTGGGTTGCGAGTTAGCCAGTAGTTAGAAAGAAGTTATGGAAGAAGATCAACTGAATAAAAAATTTTGTGTCATGATAGCAATTTAGATGGTTCGGGCCAGGGTTTGGGGGTACCTATGGCAAAAATAGAACATTTGAATACACCTTTTTATAAAGGGCTAAAATAGAAGCTAATGGTTTTAGAGTCAGCAAATTTGTGAACTTAGTCTTGGGCAATAATTTGGGGTGTATCTTGATTAAGCCAAAATGAGAAAGTGGGTTAGCCGAGAAAGTAACCCAAACATAGGCTTGGCTGTTGTTACTAGAGCACAGGCAGAAAAGGAGAAGAAAGCAATGAAACCTCTTAAAGTTCTCAAAAATGGTCGAAGATAATGAAATTAGGGTAATGTTTTTAAAAAGAAAAATTTAAAATGAAAAATTTACTTTACGGGCGTTTGTGGCATTTTATGCAAAGGGAAAAATAAGATAAAAAAAATTGAAAAACCCAAAAAAGGGGGTAAATTTTTTTAGATTGAAATTAAAGAAAAGATGTTTGTATAAAAATTTTTGAGACGGTGAAAGGTAAATTTTAAAAGTTTTGAAACAAAAACAAATAGTTGTTCCTAGAAAATTTATCAAAAAAGAGTTATGTCATTAGTTTCATGAATCAAATAGTGGGGGGGGCATTTGCTGAAAACCCCAAACTTTAGACGGGTACAGCCCTATTTTCACGGGCCAGGTTTTTTAGTATTTTCACAAAGATTTTGTCTTTTCCGGGTAACATTTTCAAAGACGGGCCCGGGGTTTAAGATTTTCGAAAGCCCCTTTTTAGGTGAAATGCCTATTATTGACACTCCGTTCCAGAGAATTGCAGTGGATTTGATAGGGCCAATAACGCCTGTATCGGAAAAGGGAAATAGATACATCTTAACTGTAGTTGATTATGCTACACGTTACCCAGAAGCTGTTGCTTTACCAAGAATTGAGACTGAAAATATAGCTGAAGCATTGTTAGATATTTTTTGCAAGAGTAGGTTTCCCATCGGAAATACTTAGTGATAGGGGAAGTCAGTTCACGTCACAACTTATGGAAGAAGTTTGTAGGCTAGTATCACTAAAACAGTTGTTTACGACCCCTTACAATCCAAAATGTAATGGTCTTTGTGAGAGAATGAATGGTATTTTAAAAAGCATGTTGAAGAAAATGTGCCCAAGAACGACCTAAGGATTGGGGATAGATATTTGTCTGCGGTTCTCTTTGCATACAGAGAAAAGTCCCTCAGTCAAGTACAGGGTTCACACCATTTGAACTTCTATATGGAAGAAAACTGTTAGAGGTCCCATGCAAGCACTTAAAGAATTATGGACAGAGACAGAAGTACCAGAGACACGTAATACGTATGAGTACGTACTAGGATTTTGAGAAATAGATTAGAACAAACATGCAAGATTGCTAGAGAGAATCTCAGTAACTCACAAGAAGAGTATAAACATCATTATGATAAGAAAACACGACCAAGAAGTCTTAAGAAAGGAGACAAAGTATTATTGCTCCTGCCTTCAACACACAATAAACTGATGTTACAATGGAAAGGTCCATTTGTTGTTTAAGTGAAGCAGTTAACAAGTTTGACTACAAAGTGAAAAGTAGGTGATAGAATTGGGAATGTACCACATAAATCTTCTGAAGAAATACGAAGAAAGAGAAGATAGAATTTATGCTAGTGTAGCTGTAATAGAAGCTGAAAATAATGATGATACTGGGGTAGTTGATGATGAAAATCTTTTAGAACTAGTAGACGCACAGGGTGAAGAGACGTACAGAGATGTTAATGTTAATGATCAATTAACACTTGAACAAAAATCAGACGTAAATGCGTTGCTTCAAGAATTTGAGGATATTTTTACTGATATTCCCGGAACAACAGATCTTGAATCTCACAAGATTGAGTTGACTGACAAAACACCAATTCGTGTTAGACAATATACGATACCATATGCAAAAAGGACAGCGGTAGAGGATGAAATTAAGAAAATGCTTGAATGTGGTATCATTGAACCAGCAAATTCTGATTATAATTCTCCAATTGTTTTGGTGAAGAAAAAGGATAATACAAACCGCTTTTGTATTGACTTCAGACGACTCAACTCTGTAACAAAGTTTGATACAGAACCAATGGGTAATGTTGAGGATGTGATGGCGAAACTTAAAGAAGATAAGTTCTTCACGAAAATTGATTTGACCAAAGGTTTTTGGCAAAATACCAATTGAAGCAAAATCAAGACATCTCACAGCATTTTCTACAACAGAAGGTAGTTACCAATTCAGAAAGATGCCATTTGAAATGGTCAATTCTGGTGCAACATTTAATAGAATGATGCGGAAGTTGCTTTCCGGAGTGAATGATACTGATAACTATGTTGACGATGTACTTGGACATACGGTTACATGGGAGACACATATAAAAATGTTGAGACAGTTGTTCGAAGGAATACGAGAAGCAAAGATCACAGTTAAACCTTCTAAATGTATGATTGGGTTTGAAAGTATACCATTTACCGGTCATGTTGTTGGCAAAGGACAAATGCAAATGGAAGATGACAAATTAGGCAAAATTAGAGACGCTATGCGACCAGAATCAAAGAAGCAACTGAGATCGTTTCTTGGTCTAGCTGGATACTACCGAAAATTCATTGCTTCATTTGCAGAAATTGCTTCCCCATTGACAGATCTTACGAAGAAAGGACAGCCAAGTAAAATCATATGGAAACCAGAACATGAAAAAGCCTTTACGACATTGAAGCGAGTACTGACACGATCACCAATACTACGACTTCCAGACTTTTCAAAGTCATTTGTTTTGCAATGTGATGCCTCAGATACCGGAGTTGGCGCGGCACTTCTTCAACAGTTTGATGATGGTCTGCTTCCAATAGCTTACGCGAGTAAGAAATTGTTGAATAGAGAAAGAAACTACTCGGTTATCGAGAGGGAATGTCTTGCAATGGTATTTGGAATAAAGAAATTCAACAAATATTTGTACGGGAAAGAATTTGAGCTGCATACAGACCATGCTCCTTTAAGGTATATTCAGAAATGTAAAGTTGAAAGTGGCCGCATAATGAGATGGGCATTATTTCTACAGAACTATAAGTTTAGAATAGTAGCTGTGAAAGGAAAGGAAAACATGTGTGCAGATTACCTAAGTAGACTCGATACTTGAAAAGAGACATTGTAGATTATTCATTTTGTTTGAAAACAGTGGAGTGTTTTCTTGAGTAGGGGGCTGTCAGAATAATCACAGTTTCACTGTAGATAGTTTTATTTACAACGAGTCAGCGATACACTGAAGTGTATCATATTTCAATGTACAGTTTCATTTATAAACCTGTTGCTGGGAGTATAAAATATGTATACATGTTTAAATGTCAAATCGTTTCAGCTAGCAAATATGCGCGTTTAGAGAGAGATTTTACATTAGTTAGGATACACACGCTTATAGTGTGAGGGGTTATTTTTTATTGGGAAGAGAATTTTGTTGTTTTGAAGAGAATTTTGTTGTTTTGAAGTCAGTTTTGTTGGTTTGTTGAAGTGGTTGAATATAATTGTGGTGATCTTAATTGATCAGGGTTTATTGGTTGTAATTTGTTGTTTTTGTTGTTGAGTTATATCTGTTTGTGAAGATATAATTGATTGATATTGGTTGAATGATTGTCTGATCAAGATTATATTAGTTGATGCTTTGTTTTGAGGATATATGTAAATATTGGGTGCTTTAGTTTAAGTTGTTTTCTGATGCTGATTAGATTGTGTGAAGTTAATATTGTTGGATGAATGTTTGTGGTTTATACCGTATCTTAGAGTTGTAAAAATATTCATTTTTTTGTGTTCTTCATTTTGTGGTGATTTTATTGTTGTTTGATCATAAGTTGTTAGAGCTTGGGCTCGCCAGGTGTCTTGTTTCGTATAAAAGACGTATATGTGAAAAGATATTTCATATAAGTGGCTGATAAATGATGTGTGTTTGTTTTGGGTGTAAATAATGATCAGAGTTCTTTGTTTTGGGTGTAAATAATAATCAGAGTTTGTTGTTTACATGTATATATTGATTTGAGATAGAAAAGGATAAAAATACCTAAAAAAAAAGAAGATAGTGTTAACTAAATAATTACATGCTAGTTTTCCAACTGAGAATATTTCACTTTAATGTCAGGCGGTGCTGCCCAGCCTCCATATCTTGGAAATTGGTTCTAGTATTTATTACTAAATCTTTTCTTAGATTAAATAACATCAAGGCAGACATTTCTCCTGACATAGTGTGTTTTTTCAAAACCCCCTTTTTTTTAAAATTCAAGGGGCGTTCGTTGAGTATTTCAAACCTATTTGGCACTGTTTTTCTTTATTACATAGCACAATAAATTTTTTTGTTAAAATTAAAACATGTAATAAAAAATCTCCGGAGGGATTAGGGGGTTTTTTTCATTTTTTTTTTATGTCTTTTGGGCTTGTACTTGTGATTTAACATTTTTTTTACTTCTTTTTAAAATTTCCCTATGTTTTTATTTTGATTTTTTTCGGTTTAATGGTTTTGCATTTTGACAGTCGTTGTTGTGTTTTTCCTTTTAAAAAATATTTACCTTTTTATGGGGCTATAAGAAGATGATTTTATTCATTTGCTTTTGCACTTAAAAAGTTTTGATGGTTTTTACGGTTTTTTTTTTTGGGTCTTTCTAGATTTTACTATTTCAATATTTTAAATCCCCTTTGTAAAATATTCCCCTATAATATCTGCATTACAGTTACCATCCTAAAAATATATTCAATTTCATCAAATTAGTATCCATTAACATCCGAACCATTCTTTAGTCACACATTATTACTGTTATGTACATTATACAAGACTTCTTCTAAGTATTACAGCTATTTTTGAAGCTTCCCACAAAAAATATTGAAAAACATTATGTCCCCAAGAAATCT